ATATATTTGGAGGAGTCAATGCAATGCAGAAGAAAGACAGTATCAACTGTCAAACACGTTGGTGGTAGCATCATGCTGTGGGGCTGTTTTGCAGTCAGACAAACTGAATTAGCAGCTGTGTCCAAACTCTGACACTTCACTTCTGTCTGGCAACTAGAGTGATCCAAATAGGTGCACATTCCGCTCCCATACATTTTGTAATATCATTCAACCCGATAACAAAATGTTTCAGTGACAATAAGGAGTAAATAGATACTCTTCACCCTGACGGTAATCACTAATGTCTAGATTGACTGCAAATATTACATAAAAAGAAACTGAATAAAAACATGGTAGCCTGAGAGACCACTGACAGACCAGGTTACTCTCTGTCCAAAACCAGGGAGAAAAAGAGGTGGAACGTGAAGTAAAATCCAACTCAAGAAATTAAACTGTGATTATTTTTCCCCTCCATCCAAACCCGCAAAAAATGCTTAACTTTAGCCATAAACACTCTGGATACATATGATTAATTCTTTGTTAATTCAAAATCCTGCAAGCTACTTTATTTGTGATTGGGTAATTTATTCGGATTATGTTTAGATTAGGATAACATGAAACAGTCAGTTCTTATATCATGTTGGGATCATCTGAGGTGAGGATGTCTGTGGTTCATGTTCCAGCTTTTTCTCCTTCCTGTGTGTGTGTGTGTGTGTGTGTGTGTTTGTGGGTGTGTGCGTAGGTTAGTGAATTAAACTGTTAACTTTAAGACTCTTTAGCTATGGTGGTTTTACTCACATGTTTATTTTTCTTTCATACCTTGTGGTGAAAAAACTAAACGGATCAAGTCTGCTTTATTTTTTTATTTTTTATTATGTTGCATTGTTTTGGTATATTGTTGTTTTTCTTTTGCTATTTATTTAATTATCATGCAATATACCAAGATATGTTGAATCTTTTTTTTTATGTAAAATCTATTAAAGAACCATAACTGTATCATTTGTGTTGTTTCTTAGTGAAATGTAATGACTTTAAACAAAAGAAAACATGCTAACCTTTAATATGTGCATTTGTGAAAAACATAAAAACTATAAGACGGAAAAAACAAGAGAACATACATTAGAAGAAGTCAAATCAGGAGGAAACGTTTGCATGCATGCGACAGCATTAAGCATTTGGATGCGCTCATAGACCAGGTACATAATAAAGACTTGAGTTTTTCCTTTTATTATTGTACAAGGAGGTACATATTTTAAAATTCTGTCTTTAAATGATCTCATGCCTTAGATCTCTGTACTCCAAATGTGTCATTCTAGAGATGCACAGTTCTGTCAGTCAATAATTTATAAACAACCACGTTTCGCTTATCAGCTCTGATGAATCAGAAGTTCAAATAAAATGAAATCTAAATGTTGTTTACTAATATTGTTTAATTGCATAACACCTTATAAGTCAAATTTTTTTAGCATAAACAAAAATCTAACATATGAACCAACAGCATGCATTTTGATTCAGTCTTATGAGTTTAAAAGCAGTCAGATAAACATTAGTGGTATTTAACTTGGGGTATAAATATGAATAATCTTTTCATTTCTTTTTTCTGTTGTATTTAAAACTCATTTTAATAATCCACTTCACTTTTAAAGTTTTATATTCATGCCCTTAAAACATAATACAGTCATTTAAAATCAGTGACATCGGGACAGAGCACAAAGTAAACCACAAATTGGCCAGAAAAAGCCTGATCATTGAATCTGTTTTTCCATTTTTCTGTATATATTCCCCAGAGAAAACTGACACGGTCCAAATAAAGCCGATGCTGGTTGGCACATCTGTTTACCATTGCTGAATTGGAAGTCTCAGAAACACATTTGGCTGCAGACTACAGAAGTTTGCTCTATTCACTACAGCAATATATGGTATTAATTTATTTTGGCAAGAATTGCACAACTGAGAAAGAAGCTGTTAGCACAGAGTGCGGACATTCAGATCTAAGAACCAATATCAATTAATAATGAAATCATTGACAATTAGCCTCTGCAGTGATATTTTCTGCACTTTTTACAACAAGTTTCAAATTTCTCACAAAATATCATGGAATTATGTTCGTCCCGATAGATTGAATTTAGTAATTTTAACATCACACACACACACTAAAAGAGGAGAACAATATAGATTCTGTGAAAGAAGGCAAATAATACAAATTATCGCTTATTAAGACCAGTTGAAACATTAGTTTAGCACTATAGCTTGATAAAAATATCCCCAATTATCCCACCTCAATATCTATCTATCTATCTATCTATCTATCTATCTATCCATCCATCCATCCATCCATCCATCCATCCATCCATCCATCCATCCATCCATCCATCCATCCATCCATCCATCCATCCATCCATCCATCCATCCATCCATCCATCCATCCATCCATCCATCCATCCCTCCTTATATTATCTCTCTCTCTCTCTCTATATATATATATATATATCTATATATATAGATATATAGATATAGATATATATCTATATACACTATATTGCCAAAAGTATTTGCTCACCTGCCTTGACTCACATATGAGCTTAAGTGACATCCCGTTCCTAATCCATAGGGTTCAATATGACGTCGGTCCACCCTTTGCAGCTAGAACAGCTTCAACTCTTCTGGGACGGCTGTCCACAAGGTTTAGGAGTGTGTTTATGGGAATTTTTGACCATTCTTCCAGAAGCGCATTTGTGAGGTCGCACACTGATGTTGGACGAGAAGGCCTGGCTCTCAGTCTCCGCTCTAATTCATCCCAAAGGTGTTCTATCGGGTTGAGGTCAGGACTCTGTGCAGGCCAGTCAAGTTCATCCACACCAGACTCTGTCATCCATGTCTTTATGGACCTTGCTTTGTGCACTGGTGCACAGTCATGTTGGAAGAGGAAGGGGCCAGCTCCAAACTGTTCCCACAAAGTTGGGAGCATGGAATTGTCCAAAATGTCTTGGTATGCTGAAGCATTCAGAGTTCCTTTCACTGGAACTAAGGGGCCAAGCCCAGCTCCTGAAAAACAACCCCACACCATAATCCCCCCTCCAACAAACTTTACACTTGGCACAATGCAGTCAGACAAGTACCGTTCTCCTGGCAACCGCCAAACCCAGACCCGTCCATCAGATTGCCAGATGGAGAAGCGCGATTCGTCACTCCAGAGAACGCGTCTCCACTGCTCTAGAGTCCAGTGGCGGCGTGCTTTACACCGCCGCATCCGACGCTTTGCATTGCACTTGGTGATGTATGGCTTGGATGCAGCTGCTCGACCATGGAAACCCATTCCATGAAGCTCTCTGCGCACTGTTCTTGAGCTAATCTGAAGGCCACATGAAGTTTGGAGGTCTGTAGTGATTGACTCTGCAGAAAGTTGGCGACCTCTTCGCACTATGCGCGTCAGCATCCGCTGACCCCGCTCCGTCAGTTTACGTGGCCTACCACTTCGTGGCTGAGTTGCTGTCGTTCCCAAACACTTCCATTTTCTTATAATACAGCTGACAGTTGACTGTGGAATATTTAGGAGCGAGGAAATTTCACGACTGGATTTGTTGCACAGGTGGCATCCTATCACAGTTCCACGCTGGAATTCACTGAGCTCCTGAGAGCGACCCATTCTTTCACAAATGTTTGTAAAAACAGTCTGCATGCCTAGGTGCTTGAATTTATACACCTGTGGCCATGGAAGTGATTGGAACACCTGATTCCAATAATTTGGATGGGTGAGCAAATACTTTTGGCAATATAGTGTATATATAAAGATCTCTCTCTCTATATATATATATATTTTTATATCTGTCTCTCTATCTCTCTCTCTCTCTCTCTCTCTCTCTGTCTCTCTATGTAAAAGCAATGCTGTACATATAAAAAAATTTTCATATTAAAATAATGAAAAGACACCAAAGAGTTTTTGCATTTATTACACATAGTTCACAAAACATAATGTCATCTTTTTTCATTATTTACAATAATATTTACTTTAAATGCATGTATGTCCCCCAACAATATGGTTGTACTTAACCTAGTTTAACAGGCACCATCTCAGTAATTTATGTCTTCTTCTCATAAGCAAAAACATACCACTTCCTGTTAAATAATATGTGCTTTCCATCAAGGGGAGGGGTGGCAGCAGAGCGTCTGCAAGCTAATCACAGCACTTCAAATCAAAACCACATGTCCACGTTGACATTCTTAACTGCAGCCTAAGAGCTATGAGCATGAACACTCTTCAAACCTGTCACCTAGGGGTCAGTAGTGTGTGACATCATTGGGCTGGTGTTTCCTGTCAGTCAAGTTTGAGAAACCAAATTAGTAGATGAAAGGTTCTCCTTGGTGCTTACTTGCACAAGGTTCTCCTCTCGCCTTGCCTTGAATATGCATTGGGAGATGATGTTTCACTGTGGCCCCTGTGGGAAAAAGCAAACCATTGCTTTGGACAAAGGAATACTGCAAACCTCGGAAACCTTGGGGATTTTAGGGAGACCTTATCTAAAGATTGATAAGATCTGCTAAAAAGGCAGCTTTAAGTCTAGGTTTAAAGGAAGTTTGAAAAAAACAAAAAGGATTATTTTAAAAAATGGACACAAAAATATAGATTTCACTGCACAGAACTAATATACCTCTCTTTTTTATAGTGCATTAGAAAAAAATTCATGCCCCTCAAAGTTTTTTAAATTGTCACTTTAAGTTGACTGTGTTTGTTATGTACTGGAATTTCATGCATTACACCAAACCAGAGTAACACATAACTGCTCAGTGGAATGAAAAAGTTACATGATTTTATATTTTGTCTTTTTTTTTTTTTTTTTTTTTTTTTTTTTTTTACAATCTGAACAGTGCACATTTGTATTCACATCCTTTTAACTTTAAATAAAACCTAGTTTAACAAATTTTAAGTGGAATGCTAAATACAAAGTCAGGGACAGGAGGAATTAACAGAAAAGGCTTGGCTTATATTAACAGAGGACAGGCCAGAGAGATACTAGTGGCAGAAGAGTTCTTTAGAGTTGATTTTCAGAAGTAGCTCAGGATCTGGTCAGAATTGATGTAAAAGTGATTAGAAATACATAAGGAACAGTGGCGGCTGCTGCTCTCTGGTGTCTTTGGTGTCAATTAAAGCCAAGCATCATGTATTGCATTAACAAATGTTGAAAGACATAAAACTGTACTACAACATGTAAAAATAGCTGCTGTGAAACGCTCTAAAACAATAAACTCAAGGAAATCATGACAAAAGTTAAGCCTAAGATGATTGATCTGACTAGTTGATCACTTTTCTCTCACGACTCATGAGGAAAACCTCCTCACTGTCTGGACACTGAAAGTCAAAAATCCTTAAATATGTTGGCCAATCAGCATCGAGCAGCCAGTTTCACGACCCGCCCCTGCTCCATAGTCCCCCTAAGAGGTTTAGCCTCACCGGAAGTGACGATCTTTGCGTATTATCCAATCAGGGCTCTACTTTCTCCCTGCTTACCTTAATAGACCGAGGCTCAATCCTCAACAGGGATTTGTCATAGAGGCTGACTGCAGCACCCTGCTGCTCCAGAGTGGAGGGGTAATCACGTTTGAAAGCAGAATAAACAGCTGATTAATGCGCAACATAATCATGAAATCAGGCTGATTTTAGTGCATATTTAATGCAGTTTAATAACTAGATTTATGTTTGACAGTGCATATTTTGACAATGCATATTTTACCAATAACTTTTCGAAATTTACAGGGGAGGTTTAGCCTTCCTAGCACCAATGGGAAATCGCCACTGATAAAGAACAATACTGTCATTAATTATGACTGAAGAAAGACTCAAAGTTGGACGAGAGTTTTTGCATACCATTTAGCTGAACAACAGATCTAATAATGCAGTTGCTTACAGTAGATCAAAGAATAGACATGTGTTAGGGAAGCCTAGTCAAAGTACAAACCTAATCAAACTGGAAATTCTGGAACTTACAGTTTACTCTTCAGATAGGCGTTCCATTTAATCTAATCTAGCTTGAGTTATTTTACAAAAAGGAATGATATTCATCTTTTAATTTATAAGGATTATTTTGCAATGTATTGACTAGGCAGGTCTGACCATCGGATAAAGCTACACTTTATATTTTCTTGTGATTAATCAAAATAATTTTAAAACTATGTACTATTTTCCTAAGTATTTACATGTTAGATTTGGTCTAACCGAAAGAATTCCTCAGAATAAAGAAGAAAAAAAAGGAGCCTACAATGTAGTAAGGAATATGTGACTATTTGGGGGGGATCTGGACCAGATGCAGAGAAATGAAATGAGAAGAGACAGGGCACCAGGGTCTGGCAGACTTTAGAGCAGGATTTCCCAGGTCTGCTGAATGACAGGGCATGGCCTTGCCTTGACACGGACAGGAAGCATCTGCTTTTCTACAACCTGTTGGATAATGTAATTCTAGCTAAATCCCAGAGTGCAAACTGCTTCTGCAAGTTTGGATGCCCCATAAACATGTGTAACATTTCTATACATGTGGTACATTAGTAAAAAATGGCAAAAACCTGAAACAGTAGCAGGTTAACAATTAGGGATTTGCAGTGTCATCTGCAGTGTCACAAAGCAGTGTCATCACTTATTAAAGTGCACATTGTCCCAAAGCTAAGAGCTGCGTCAAATCAAATATTCATCAACCTCCAATATTCATCACATGGGCAGTGGCCTGTGTGTGGTCATTAAACAAAGCAATATCACTAATCTGATTGCATTGTAAAGGTATATTACCTTAATACAAAAAACAAAGGTGGCCTAATAAACCTTTTAATTGAATGCATTTTAGAAAATTTAATACTCATAATTAGAGGCAGGTTAGGATTGTCCCTTCCAGTTACATAAAGGGATGGAGATCAGTGCAAAAAACCAGGGCACATGATGTGATAGATGACTCAGCCTGGCCTGGAGGAACGTGAACAGCTTGCACAAATTTCTGAATCCAATTTGACAGAAAAACTTACCCCTAATTTATATAGCATCCACTCTGCAAAGCTGTGAAATGTACAACAAATATGTAACAATCATAATTATAAGAGCATTTATTGTGACTCAGCATAGTAATGGCAAAAATATGTTACATCGGCAAAAATTCGATTTGATTCTATTGTCGCTGGACGCTGCTTCAAATCCACAGTAAATATTCAAACAAAAGCAACAAATTTAGTTTTTCTGCGCATAGTATACTCACCCATTGCACATCTATGTCCTAAAAATATCTTGATGCCTAGGAACACAAAGTAAAGAACTGTTAACCTTTCTTAAACCCATGGAGTTATTTTGGTCTGACTTCTTTACTCACAGGCTTATAATAAACAGTTTATGAATGCTCCTTGGAGTTTCTGTGAGCTTCATACCTCAGCTTATATAATGTATAAGGATGAACAGAGCAAGGCAGATGGAGCAAAGCTGGACTAAGTGGAAATGGGTGTTATGTTGAAACATCCTGTCCAACATCAGTCTCTGACCTCAAATATATTAACCTTGGTTAAGGATCCAACATTCCCATAAACGCAGTCCTAAATCCTGTAGAGAGCCTTCTGAGAACTAAGAGTTATTTAGTAAAGTTTATGTGTAATCTCAATACTTGAAGCAGTATATAGTACTGGGGTTTAATGAGGCCAAGTCCGCCCTGGACTTTTAAGCATCATGAGATTGATGGAGTAAAATGAGAATGGCAGAAAGCATCCTTTCTATTTGAAAAGACGATGATACATTTAATGTTAAAATCTATGTCTGCAAAAAGGGATGTAATAATTCTAAACATGCTGACATTTACAATAGCGGTGTATATTTGTTTTCAGTCGCTAAACTCTATTCCTATGTTGGTTTGCTACCTGTCAGTTTAGTGTCTAGTTAAAGTCAAAGCAGTTTTAATTAAATTAAACATTTGAATAAGAATTTAAGATTATATTGCTAGACTAAATGATTACTAACCTATAGTAACCCTTTTTTTGCTATCATCTGTTTTCTAGGTGGTAAAAAAGGGTCTTGGAATAAGCAAACTAAAAAAAGACATTGATGAAGCTTGGTAGTAAAGGGAGAATAGAGACATAGGATTTTTTATTGCTAAAAATCAACCACAAAAGCTGAAGCATTTAACATTGGGCTTATGTCCTTAATATTTTCTTTTCTCTTATCGTTTTTCCTTGAAGCACAACTCCAAGATCCTCCTCCTGTCCTCTTATTAAGCTTCAGATGGCTGACTGCTTTGACTGATTAGATATGCAGCTGTGGGGCATTTAGTAGGAAGAGGATTTGGGACCTCTGGTTCGAGCTTTACGCTAGAACGTTACAGCTGGTCTTGGCCTTTGTGTTTTGAGCTTTCACATAAAAATCTGATTCATTCTGTTCTTTCTTTTGGTTGTTATTCTTTTAAAGGCCTGTGTTCCATGTCATCTTTGTTTGCAATTAATCAAACATGGTGAGAAATGGGCCAGTAAGTTTTTGTTTGTTTGTTTGTTTGTTTTTTTTATAGAAAAACAAGACATATTCCTAGTGCTACTAAAATATTTTAAACATTTTTGGATATAACTTTAAAATGGCCTAGAATAAATGAATAGATTGAAAGAACTGAACTGCATTAATTTTGAAGCCATGTTTCCATCGAGGTTAGTTTGTCTGTTTTCAAAATAACAAAAAAGGTCAGTTTTAATAAATTATTTTCAGATGTATGCCTAATGCCAAGATACAGTCCACAATATTCTCTGACATCAAGACAGGGATGTTTGGTGGAAAACACACTTCCTTCCTAAGCCAGAGGGTGGCAGCAGTGACTATTGACCACTTTAGCATTAGACTTAATTAACTGAACTTTATTGATCTCACATTTGAGAAATTTTACCTCTGCATTTAACCCATCCCCTTGGGGAGTGGTGGGCTGCCATCGTGGGGCAGTGTAGGGTTAAGTGTCTTTGCACAGAGACCCAGAGTGGCAGTCTGTGGGAGTGGGGCTTAAACTCAGAACCTCAGGATTCCAAGCTCTATGCCCTAACCACTTGGCCGCCACTCTCCCAAGTAAGGCGCTTTTTTACTGAAAACAAAAACAAGAAAAGGGAGTCTTGCTTGTTTGTTAGCAGGATGAGTTGACCTATGAATAGATTTGAAGGATTTTTTTTTCTACTAGAGGTGCATCTTATGCCAAGGAACAATTCATTAAAACTTGGTAATGATCCAGATTATGTGCGAGTTTTAACTACAGGTGTACGTGTTGGTTAGGGGTGTCTGTCTCTTTTTTTGCTGGAGGATTTGTACTTACAGACAGACTCCAGAATAGTCTGTTTAAGTCAGCCAGGCAGGGGTTTGCTGCGTTTGCATTTACTGTAATAGTGCGTCAAATACTGCAGAGATGGAAACAGGAAGTCATTTCGACATGCAATCAGCTGTATTCAGGATAAGGAGAAAACAATTGCACTTTATAATTCTATCCATGTACTACTGTGCTCTAGATCTAAGACTCTTGACATTATTCTACCCCATGTCATTGATCCAACCACCATGATGATGGCATGTGTTGTTTGGACTTCGGTCCTCCATCTCCTTCCTGTAAAAACAGAACCATAAAGAAAGAAGACAAGTTCATTCTCTGAAAATTGCTGATAAAAAAAGGATGGATATTATCCTAAAGTACATTCTGTTCCCAGCTATAATAGCAGACTGCTCTATGTGCTGTTTGCTATGTGCAAACTGGTGTGTCACGGTTCACTTTTAGCATTCCATATGTTGTCCAAAATACTGTGCATAACAGTTTTCATCAAATTTAACCCTGGACATACCTACAGGGTTTCCTGTGGTCCAAAGTTGCAAGTTGACTCCTGCTCCGAGAGCCTTTGAAGAACTTGTGTACAATTACCATATGCTTGATATTACCATTCTCTCACATTGAGATAATGCTGCAGTGTGACTGGAATTTGACCTTAGCCTTTTTCAGCAGGCACTCTTGTATAACACTAAAACCAAATTTACAATTACTTTAAAAAAACAAGCACAAAATGCAGATTTTATATTTTAAATTTAAATTATTATTCTACAGCAGCAGCAATGATGCCAACCGTTCCTAAGTATGCATGTTCAAAAAACAGGTTAGAATGTCTGAAAGGTAAAACCCTGATATACTCTGTTTGGGCTTTCTGTTATTTACTGAAGTATGGCTCTCGCTCACTCTCTTGCAGCCTGACTGAGTTTCAGAAAAGTCTCGTTATATAGAAAACTGTTTATTGTTTTAATTGCTTATTTGGTTTCTGTGCTTCATTTTTTTACTTAATGTTAAACATCTGACTGATTGTTAAAAAAAAACAAAAAAAAACAACAACTTAGTTTTCTATTATAGAAAAGTTCCATACCTCATAGTATTGTTGTATTGCGACCCAGTAGAATTTAGTGTGATGCATTTAATGATTTGAAAAAATATCAGTTTGGGTTGAACAAAGTGAAAATCTTTCAGTTCTATTCAAAGACAGATTTTCTTATCCATCCCTTTTCATTTCAAACTTTCTTTTTGACAGTGAGGTTTTGCATAAGGAAAGATGTTTGTCAGTTGAGTTTGCCTTTTTTAACTGCTATTTTTACACCATGCATAAAAACATTATCTGATTTAAATTAAGGTTTATTCCTTATTTCATATGGTTACAAACATATATTTTCAAGATCTCTTCAGGGTTGTTTTAGTACACAACATGTATTTAGCTTTAAAATTAGGAAAACCCTATTTTAAATTGCTTTTCTTTGTGGAACATTCGCTCTAGTAAAAAAAAAAAGGAAGAAAAAAAAGCCTGCTTCGCTCAAGTTGTTTTATTTGGCTGGGTTCCTATTGTGGCTGAGTCATTCCACTTTAGGGTAATCCACATTATGCTAAGATGAGACTCCTCGGATTATACAGGACTTATCCCACCAAGCCATGCGAAAATAATGGCTGCGACGATGTGGGAGAGCAAATCTGTCTCTGGAGAGTTTAATTTCCCGTGTGAGTTGTTGATTTATGTGTTTTGCTCTCCACTCAGTTTGACAGACGATGACACATGTTCCTAATAATTCCAAACCTCATCAGCGTTACACTTTTTAAAACTGCCAAAGCAGCTATTTGACATAATACCTCGTATAAAAATTTAACTAGAGCAGTATTTTTTCTAAAGTATCTGTATTCCATAAGTTATGGTGGGATCCAATACTATTTTAAGATGCATTTTATAGGTCAGATTTATGATTTAACTCAATAGAAGCATGATAGAGTTTTTGTTGGACCTACCTTTAAGCTGCTTTAATCCACAGCTTTCAGCTGTGGATCTTTAGAGCAGAGGTCCTAGAGTTCTTGCCCTTGCTGATCTCAGAGATGAAGCTGTCCTCCAATCCAAGAGGCCTGGCCACTCACTGTTTTCCCAGTCAACAGCTCTGATTATCTAATGGCTGACAGATGAGGTTGGCAGGTTTTCGGGAGGAGCAAGTCTCCATATAGTGTTGGTTTTCTTTTATTCTCTTCTATTCGACTGTAGATACAGTTCAGCTGGGGGAAGCATAGCTTATATGGCTGAAATTTTCTTTCTTCCTCCCTTTTTTCTTCCCTCCTGCTTTCTACTCCAGTAAGGTGGGGCTACCCCCCTCCCTTTCTCACTCCCAGACCATCCTCCCCACCTCCACCATGTTTGCATGTCTCTTCAGCGAGGAAGGTTTGTTATCATTTATGAGTACGTGTGCAGAGAGTATCTGCTGTGCTCAGGGCTAGTCACTCTGCTTTGATGTGCGCCGTCAGCTGAGAGGACCCTGTGTTTAAAATGCCACAGTAATTACAGCATGCAGGATGCGTGTTTGTGCAGCGTTTACCACGGCCCGCAGCGACAAGAAAAGGCAGAAGGCGGCTTTGTTTGAAATGGCACTCCAACATTTATCAGTTTTTAACGATTAGTAGAGTATCAGTATCAATTTAATACTGTGCGGTCATCATCAAACTATGTGCTTGTTGTTATGCAGTTTTTCTGAGGTCATAATTAGTACACAATGGTACATTATGTTTTTTATCTGGACTGGAAGTTATGTATCTTGTGTATTTTAATCCATCCCTCCCTCTTTGTAGTGGCTTTGTAGAGGGGGGCTCACTCGTTGAAAGGAAATAGGTGCCCTAATTACTACACAGCCACATGGGAACCAAAATCTCTTGAAAAATTTGGGTGAGCCATCTTAGACCTTTTTCTTCAGAGCTGTCATCAGGTTGTCTGGTTTTTATTCATTATATTTTCTCCTCCTCGGGTGCTTATTAATACCAGATGATTCTCACAAAGGTTGTGTATGGATCCTTTCCTCTCTCGGCCTTGGCCTCAGTCATTAACAACAGCTCTCTAAGTAAGTGCTGTGTTTACAGGTTAAATAGCCGGTGGCTTTACCTCAGTGTGAGAGATGCTTGCCAAGAGCTTTTGAAGAAATCTGCTTTCGCCTTTTCTGGTTGATAATACTTAGAGCATTGAACAAATCAAAACACAGCTGTTTCAAAAATCTGTTTAAATTCCTTACTGAAAATGTTGAAAATAGTTTGTTTTATGATCAAAGTTATAAATGAAATTTAAAAAAGATATAAAAAGGACGACCAAAGAAACAATGTGCAAAATGGAAAAATAAAACCTGCTCAGCTTAATCATAAAAAAACAGATATTTATACACACCCAACAGTTAAAGCCAGATATTTAAACGCAATCTGTTGAAGATTGGGTTTAAATATCAACAGATATTTCAACCACGATCCACTTCTAAATCAGAATAAACCTTTTCTGTTTATTTCTGCTTTCTGTAGGACAAATGTAGCCCTGCCTTATGTTTTGATAACCCTGCTTAAGTTTATAATAAATTTATCCTTTGTTTCAGTAATATTATCTCATAAGTTTACTGATCTTTTAGAAAAAATATGAAATTATGTTTTTTGTTCATAGAAATCATAAAAATCAACCATTTTGTGGCATGAAATGTTCTATTTAAAAACAAATTACTCACACTATTATTTCTGTTCCTAATATTTCCTACAAGAAATGTCACTGAGGATTTCGGGTCATTACTGCATCATGTATTGTTGTATTAAGGACGTATTCAGATTTAGGCCTAACATACATGGGAAAGAGGTCTACTGTGACATAAAATAAAACAATTGTCTCAGACCAAAATGGGCTAAACAACAAATAATAAGCTATTTAATTTTTTAAAATAGATATTGATCTTTAAAAGCACATTTTTATATAGTAAATTTTTTTTATAATGACGGCTTTTTCTTGGGCTGCTCAGTGGCGCAGTGGGTAGCACAGCAATTTTCTTCTCTACAGTGCCCTTAGGTGTGAGTTTGTGCGTGAAGGTCCTGTTTTTCTCTGTGTTGCCCTGCGATGGACTGGCGACTCGCCCATTGACTGCTGGAGATATGCACCAGCAAACCTTGCGACACCACTCGGGATAAGTGTGCTAGAAAATGGATGGATTGATGGATGGCTTTTTCTGACTGTCTGAATCTTGATGGTACTCTAGCAATTCCCTAAGAGGCACTGGTTGATTGTGTATCATTGTTTAAACAATGCAGAGAGTCGCAGGAAAAAGCTGATTCCTTAAACTTGCCCTCAAAGCTGATCCAACTTGATCTTTCCACCATAAATTATGAGGCATTATACATACAGTCTATTTCCTACAAGGTATCTTAATAATTGAGGGTACTGTATATCATATGATCTATCCCACTCTGAATTAGATGCATTCGTTGAGTGACATTGCTGACACCGAGTGTGGCTGAAGGTGGAAGACAACCTTTCACCTCTGTGTGTGGTTTGATCACTTGAGGTGCAATTGCAAGACAAGTTGAATAAAGATGTGAAAGAGGCTGGGAAATTGTGGCGAAACCCCAGAATCCTCTGATCCACATGACAGGACAAAGAGGAAGGCTCAGAGAATTGTAGCAGACATCGCTCACCCTTTGTCCTTCCAGTTTGAGCTTCTGAGGTCAGGGAGGCGCTACAGGGTTCCCCGAACAAAAGGTTCCCTAAAAAGGTCCTTTGTCCTAAAAGCCATCTCTCTCTTGAATTAAAAAAATATAGCAACTCAGATGACTCCTGTACCTTAGTTTATTTTATTGTAACGCTTTTTGTTTTTAATTTTGTGTCAGCATTTGTATTTTAGTACTGCCTGCTGAGCTAAAGATAATTTCCACCTTGGTGGACAATAAAGATTTATTCTATTCTATTCCATTCTATTGTTATTGAAACAATTTGATGAAAAGTGGGGCTTCTTATCTTCACAGTGTTCGGTGAGCTGTGGCCGTGGCACCAAACTGCGGGAGATAGCCTGTGTTTTCCAGAACCAAACCCAAATAGAGGAAGCCCACTGCAGTCATCTGCCCCGACCAAGAACACAAAAGGCCTGCAGAGCTGGAGGATGCCCTGCATGGAAAGCCAACAGGTGGAGGGAGGTATGTTTGGTCTTTCTGCTCTTTTCACTAGCTTTGATAATAAAAACCTACCGATCTGGCAAGTTACATTATTGCAAACTGTGGCCTAGCAGCAGAGATACTGGCACAAGTACAACAGAAGGTCTTCCAGAGGCGACAGATGTGGAACATGTGCATGCAAAGAGTATCTGTATAATCATAGCTCAGTTTACTTCTGCTCAAGAGTAATGTGTCTTTTTTTTCCCCATGCATGACCCAAACACTGCAGGGCTGATTTGCAAAACTGTTTATACAATGTGTGTGAGGTTTTAATTTCAAGTTTATAACACTCTGGCAAAGGGTTAAATGTGCTTTTGTAATCAAGCTTAAGGCAGAACATACACTCAACTCTTGCATTGTGTTATACACACAGTCTTAATAAAACAGATTAACAATGGTCTAGGTCCAGTAGATGCAACTAAGTGTGACTTCTGAAATAGGCTGAGACAGGATGTCAGCTATGGCATACAGTGTGATAGGAAAAATGTATAAGCTCTTCAACTTTTTAAACATTTTGTCCCATTATAGTCTGTCAATGAACGTGTCTGTGAAATTCAATTCTTAGACTATATGCAAGAGGATCTTTTCTAGTCCATGAACAGTGAAAGGTGATTCCCAGGAAGCTTCTGGGGAAGTTTGCTGAAGAATTTTTATTTATTTTTATTAATTTTTTTTTATTTATTCCTTTATTTAACCAGGAAAAGTCCCATTGAGATTAACAATCTCTTTTTCAAGGGAGTCCTGGCCAAGACAGCGGCAAAAGATTACATTACAAATTACATTATAGTTTACAATTACATAATTAGAAATTCATAAAACAGTTACAAACCATAGATTTCATTTCCAAACCTTTGAGCAATCGTTTAAAATGTCCGACTGGAATCAAATCCTTCAACTTCAAGTCTTTCTGAAGATTGTTCCATGCTGTGGGGGCAGAGTACTGAAAAGCTGTCTTTCCAACTTCAGTGCGGACACTAGGTACAGACAGAAGCAAAGACTCTTGAGAACGTAGAGAATACAGTCCAGCCGCTCTTAATTGAATGTATTCACAGATATTTTTTTGTTTCATACGAGGGGAGCACTATTTAGAGCAACACTGTAAAAGTGAGTTGTACAAGAAACTGAGCTTAAAAAGCCACCCACATTCTGCATTGTCACTCATTGTCCCTCAAAAACATCATTCTTGTCACACATTTGTTTTTTTTTTAAGCTGAAAGAGGGTCACTGTTTCAATTAATCAGTTTAATCCTGAGCTCCTACCATGATTCAATTTGACTGCTAATTGAAATGTTTTATTGATTGCATATATTTGATTTTGTCTATTTGTTGAAACCTACTATTTCTCTCCAGACAAACCTGTAAGAGGGGGGTTCTGCCTGGTTCACCTTCCAATTCTGTTTTACTTTGTCCAGTGTGTCTTTCTGCCTGTTGGACTTATGAAATTCTGATCAAATTGAGGCTTAGGTCTGGCTATAATAGACAGAGGGTCTTGCAGGGACCATATCAGTTTGACCAGCCCTATCCATTTTAGCTCTTGAAAGCCTGGAAAATGAAGTAATTGAGAGAAAATTCAGTTTTTTTAAATTAGGGTTGTCATTAAACTTTCTGACAAAGGAAAAGAAAGATAATTGTTTTTTCAAAAGTTAAATTATATCACTTATTAGCATCATTGCTAATAAATTAGGCATTTCTGTATAACATGTTATACTTTTTCTGTTCACTACATGTGTCTGATTGTCTAAGTCAGGTATATCAAGAACAAAAATATCACACTGATGCAGACATCTCAAAATCTCACGTATCAAATATGATATACTTGGTTTTAAAGGGTTAATGAGATGCAAAATGCTACTACCACAATTTTATGCAACCTGATTTTCTATCAGATCGGAAGCTGAATTATGTCCAATGTTTTCAGGCCTATTTTTTCCTTCTCCCTATCAACTCTGATCTGCTTCTCCTCTGGGTTAAGAGACATACGGCATGATGCAGCACACATAGGGTGATGTACAGTCTTCTTCTGCCACATACAGCAAATTATACTGAGGACAACTTCATTCTTATTAGGTAGAGAAATCTTGTTTGACATGTTTTCTGTGTTTTCTACATTGTGGAAAATTTTAAAAGGGATTGCTCGTTGCCTTCTTTCAACGAAAGTATTTCTCCTGCTCTCCCATAAAGGACAGATTTGCAGAATAGATAAGTAACAGATGTCCTGTCCCTAGTTGGCCCCATCTAACATGTGGAACATTAAAGATCCTCTGTAGCAACCAGGGATCTCTTAGGACACTTGCCTTACCGTAGTTGGTAGGATTGCAGTTTTGCCAAACTCTTTTCAAGTCCAGATGATGGATTATAAAACACACAAGTTGGATGGATGGATGGATGGACCTTGATTTACAACTTATGCTGCATTCACACCGGACGCAGCAGGCGCAGCGAGTTTACATGTAAAGTCAATGGTTGACGCGCGTCAAGGCGCAGCAAAGGTCCTGCAGCGCGTTTTGAGCAGCAGGCGCAACACGTCTGAGCAGCTGAAGCAGCACGTCGGGAGCGTTTAAGCATCTGACGCGCCGCAAACGCGCTGCTGCTCAAGATGGAAAAATGTAACTTTTGCTCCTCGACGCGCCGCGTCAACTAATCAGAGAAGCTGATCTGGGAGCTGGCCGTGAGACAGACACATCACTATTGACATAGAGCGCTGTGATCACTCCTCTGAAACACTTTATTAAAGCCTAAATTGACTTAAAATGCTGAAACCTGCCGACAGAATATGTTCGCTTTTATTATCCTGGTGCCTACAGTTTAGATTATTTAGATGAAAAACACCTACCAGCCGCCCCGGTGAGCCTCGAGGAGGCGACCCGGTCAGAGGCTGCTGTTGAATGGGATTCCTACTGACAGCGCACCGCCGGTATGTGGGGGTCTCAGCGGCTCCGACAGAAATAATATTAGAAGGCAGGATGATAATCTGAATGAACTGACTGCACTGATTAAGTTTTTAGGTGGATTTTTTCACTTAAAAACATATTAAAACTACTTTATTACCACTGATCACAGCAAATATAGCTGCAAGGCAAAGAAAGGATAGTTAAGCTCCGCCCAACGTGTGTCAGACACACTTTTGGACCGCGCAGCGAGAGCAGCAAAGCTGCTTCAGCCGCGCGTCAGAACTAACTGGTACATGCAGCGAAAATGAAGCAGCAGACGCGATTTTGCTGCTCTTGCTGCGTCCGGTGTGAACGTAGCAATATTCTCCCTCTCAAATTGTTAAATAATGATACTTGGTCAAAGCTCCCTGGGGTACCCTTCATGGTAAATGACAGGTTGCAGACATTGTATTACGTGACACATAGGTGAACCGCGACTGAATTTTTTTTATTATTAGCCTACAAAGTTATTGTTGATAGCTTTAGAAGCACATGATAACATGTATGCTAGTGTTTTATTTTTGGTTTTGGGGTTAGGGTAAGGAACAGGTGAGTGTTAGTTTTTTGCTTAGCAGTTCATGAAAATATTTAGGAGTTTCCTTCCACAATCCGTCTTGCACCCTGTGCATCAATAAATCCAAGAGGAGTTTCCCCAGTTGTGTATTTATGTGCAGGGGGCTTGACCAAGCGACAACATTTGACAGGTTGAGGGTGAGAATGCGCTGTAATTTATCCAGGTAAATCTAATTGAGATGGATGCATGGACTTCTTATTTATGCATTCTGTTGCATTGGTCTGCCACATAAGATCCCAGTACAACAGAATGGGTTTTTTTTGTTTGCAGATTTGATAAAAGGGTGTGAATAATTCTTCAGGGACCTGTATAAAACTCTCTACTATATGCTATCTGTAAGAGGGTTAAGGCTGATCATAGATACAGTTGAAAAGAAACCACAGGATCTTGTTCCTTTTTATATTTGTTTCTTTATCATGTTTTGAATAGAGGAAATCATTCAAAAAATAAATATTCTCATGTCTGCCTCCCTCCAATTGAGTCCTGCCCCTCCCCAGTCTATGTATGACCCCTCTCACTGTTGCTCCTGCTGATGTCTGGAAGCAATCATCCCTGCTTTCCCCCCCCGCATACCAACAGCAACCATGAAATCCACAGCCAGCTCAAGAAGACATGTTTTATATCTTAATATTCATGCATATGACAACTTGGAAACCACAGCGCCCTGTGGGAATTACTCCAAAGCAGCATACCAGTCTAAGTCACTTGTCGGAGACAATACAGTAAGAATGTTTCAAAGAAACCTGAGCTACACGTATTTTAAGGGTTTCCTTTACTCTTTCTAAAATGTTTATTTTAAAATACAAATTGAAAAATTGTCATCTCAAAACAGATGCACATTTCTGTATTTGTGTGAAGAACAGCTATAAGTGTTTACCCTGTAATTGGGTTGCGTTTAATCACACAAAGAAAAATATTAATTTACATTTTTTGCCCAATTTGCCTGTCCCTTCACATAATGCTGCCACCAACCATATTTCTGTATGGTTATTATGGTTTTATGGATTAGGATTGAACATAAAAGAAACAAATACAGAGCAGATCCTCAACAAAGGGCGAAAAGTTAAATTCACTTCAATGAACAGTGTGTGCAATCATTTTTGTCTGTGTGTGTGTGCCTTCTTCAATATGCAGATCATGTTCTAATGACCAATCAGCACAAATTTATGGGTGGGGGACATGCAAATGCAGAGAGTGCATAAATACTCCAGCTAAATGCTAATACAAAACAATTATTTACTTAGAATGTATGTTGTTTTAAGCAAACCATACATTCATCCTTAATGGGAAAGTAAACATTATTTGTAATTTTTCTCCTAACTTTACAAGTTCTACAGTTCATTCCTTATTTCTTAGAAAGATCATGACTGTTTTTCTTCTTTAAGTGCATTTGAATGTTTTCCTCTTCTGAAAAATAATTATACATTGTTTGCAGGGACAGAGTAACTGATTTGTTTTACTTCAGGGACTAGGGGCCTTTAAACAGAAGGTTCTGTTTTTACGCTTAATGTTTTTGAAAGAATGCATGTTTGATTTTAAGGTCAGATATTTGTGGGGATTTTTCTTACCATTTTCAAAACCCCCAAACCCCAAGAACACATAAACACAAATAGATCTAAAAGTTCCTGGTAATTTGATCCAGCTGTATAATTTGCAGGTTTTTAGACTGCACGTATCTGATGAGGCTTTAGAACAGTTCTTTGAGGTAAGGAGCACAGCTTACAAAGGAATCAGCTCAATCAAATACAAATACGAGCCTCACAGAAAGCTTCCTCACAGTATGAAGGAATGCTTCTCAAAGAACATCAAAGAGATGCCTGAGATAGACATTTGTGTGATAGGAGAAAAGTGCATTCAGCAGGAAGACTGAACAAATTTTCTCAGAAGTTTAACTCAGTGAACCTTTTGAAAGACAGAATAACAGATTTAATGCTTCTGTAAATCTTGAGATCATATTCAGTTCAATACAAACTGATCAGAGTTTTTGCCTCCATAATTTTTTGTACAAAGAAAAGAATAAAGACAATGCCTTGCTTTAAGGAATCTATACTCCGTTCTGTCATGTTGAACCCCTTCGGTATATTATGTCAGGACTTAAGGGACCAAGAAAAGTTGTACATTTTTTTTAAAGTATTGTAAATTGAAAGAATACATGTTTTTCAAAGTTAAAGGTAAACATGAAAAGCACAGGAACTGTATTGCCAAACATCTGGGACTGGGTTGTGGGGGCAGCAGTCTTAGCAGAGACTTCCAGATGTCCCTCCTCCCAGACACCTGGTCCAGTTCTGCTCCCTCCAAACTTCTCCTGATTGACAGCTTCTGACTATCTCTAAGGGAGTGCCCTGCTAGCCTGCAAGTAAAGCCCATTTTAGCTGCTTGTATTTGAGATCTTGTTTGTTCTGTCATGAGCCACACTTCATGTGAACCACCCCAGGGCATGCCGTAGGTCTTGGTAGAAGGGAGCCAGCAGAACCAGGTCATCTGGAAAAAAAATAGTGTCAAAATCAGCTGGTCCCCCTCCCTCGGCTGTACCTGGAAATGTTGTTCATAAAGATCATGAACTGGATTTTGCATAGAGGGCAGCCCTGTCGGAGTCAAACATGCACCAGGAATTGGTCTGACTTAAGCTGCTTTCCCTCTGAAATTTGTTTATTAAAAGTATAGAGGACAATATTTTATTTCTAGGTGGATCATCTAAATCAGTGCTCCTCCTAATTGTCATTCATTCTAGTGATACAGTATGTTTATGTAAGGCTGTACTACATGCTCATCCTGTTTGCGGCTCTTTGAAAATGGCTGAGGGTCGTAAAAGAAAAAGTGGCTATAAAGTGTATGAGAAGAAAAGAAAGGCCTCAGAAGAGGCAGATATATACTAGAATGCTTTGTGTGGAGAGCCATCCTCGCAAAGCATTATGGGATTTACTGTCACAGCGGCCCGCTGTCGCCATACAGTAGGCTGCCGCTACCCGACAGCGGTGACTAATAACAAAGATGGTGCAGGCACCATGCAGTGCACCAATGGGGAAGTGATCATCTGTCTGAACAGTTAGTTGACTGAGTTCACTATAAAGTCCTGGCATAGTGATTGATGGATTTAGGGGTTTGGCGGACGATAAGAAGTTTTTATGAGCTATGAGAACAGCAACTTTTAAACAGGGCGTGCACAAGGAGAAATGGGCTTGTGCATGCTCTCACAAATGCATTTGTTTTTTAAGTGGAGGGGGCAGGTCAAAAAAACTCCCAAGTACCTTTGAGCATTCTGCAGATGGTATAGAGTTAGTCCAGTATTCCATAACCCAGATGAATAAAACACTGTTCCTCCTAGATCCGAGGTTCAACAGTCAGCTGGGCTTTCCTCTTCAGCACCCTGGCATAAGCCATTCTGGGGTTGATGAGAAGTGGGACCCCCATATAGTTGGAAAACATCCACCGGTGCCCCTTCTTACACATGGGAAGCACCACATGTTTTCCAATCTAAAGGCACTGTCCCAAACCTCCCCACAATGTTAAAGCGGCGTGTCAGCAACGACAGCTTGAAAACATCCGGAGACCTAAGGTACTCGGGGCTAATCTCATCCACGTCCGAGGCATGGCCACCCGTGCGGTTCTTTGGCCACCTAGGGAACTCGAGCCCTGGTGATGAATGAATCCAGCCTGAGTATCCTGTCTCTTCTTCCATCATGGAAGGTTTGTCAGCCAGATTCGAGGAGATCTTCAAAGTCTTTCTTCCATTGTCTGACTTTCATCGTCAGCAGGATTCATGGACTTTCCAGAGTCTTTCCAGCCCTGAGTTTTTGCCTCTGTGACAACTAGGGCAGCGGCACGCTTGTCCTCACAGTACCTTGGTGCCACAGGAGTCCCACAAGCCAGCAAGGCTCGATAGGACTCCTTCTTCAGCTTGACAGCATCCCTTACTGTCGGTGTCAACCAAGGCCAATCCAGGGTTCAGGGTTTGCCAACACAAACGGCTCCAATTGCTACATGTAAATTCTTCAACAAAGGAGGCAGCGAATATGTTCCACTAAGACTACATGTTCCCAGCCTCCTTTAGAATCTGGGAGAAGCTCTCCCAGCGGTGGCAGTTAAATATATCCCTGACTGAGGGCTCCACCATATGTTCCCGGCAGACCGTCACTACTCCCTTGGGCCTGCTGAGTCCGTTGGACTTATTTCTCATCCATTGTACCCAGCTGAACACCAGGTTTTGATTGGTTGACAGCTCCGTCCCTCCCTTCATTAAATTACTCAAGAAAGTCGGCCGAAGCCTAAAAGATATCCAGGTCTTGCAAGGAGGCAACATCATGTGACTCGAGCACTGAAACCCCTTCATCTCATTAAGGTGGTGGTTCAAGGAGTTTCTCCTTAATATTAACCAGCAGTGCCTTTTTAAAGTCTGTAAACCTATGTTTGTGAATTGCGAACTTTACAAAAGATACGAAGAGCACTTGAGATTTTGTTTGGTGCAAGACAAAGACTTGGGACAACAGTGGGGGATATTGAGAGCTTCTGAACCGCAGAAGTCTCGGATAAATAAAATTCAGCTCTGGGAATTCATGTCATTCTAGTTTGTTTTTTTTCAGCCATGTTTCAGCACTTTAGGGCTTATGGACTGCTAATTCAGATGACACATGCTGAGATCATATTCAGTGGCTACGACCTCTGAAGGGCAGATTCGTCGACAAATTACCTCATAGCACGGCGCCGTTGCCTGTTCAGATTGGAAGACTCCTGGTTATGCGGCTGACATATGCAGCCTTCTTTTAGCCATTTTTGAAGGACAGGTCCAGTGTATCCTCTGTAGCCTTGGGTATCCCGTGATTCATTGTGAGTCCAAGCAAGCGGCTGCTCAGTGCTTTGAGGAAAAAAGCAAATGGCCCTGAACAGTGGTGAATATTTTTAGGTGTTGTTTAAAATAATACAAATGTGTGAATAGTTTCATCAGAAATTTATGAAAATAGTTCTTTTAAATGGTTATTGAGTCAGATATGTGGTGGGTAATGTTTGGTTTATTGAAAGGTTTTATCTGTCCCTGTGCAAATCAGTTTGGCTGACATTTAAGCACAGATTGCAATATTTCTGCAGTGTGTGGATTATAAATCCTATATATGCGACAATGGCACTCCTGCTGAAACTCCACGCAAATCTTATTAGCACCCAGAACAGTAGTGAGAAGTTCAGCATCCATTTTTGCTTCTGGGTGTGTCAACTGTAATGGTTGCTAGCCGATAGAGTGTATGGGCAGTGAAAGTCAGAAAAGGCTGGACCTATTTGAATCCATACCATTTTCATATTTTCAAGGATCCATTCCAGGTAGACCGGTTCCTTGGAGGACGCAGCCGCTGAAATCAAACACACATGTAATTATCTCTTCAGTATGCCATCAAGTTTGGCAAAGGCCTGTTAACAAGCCATTTATTTGATTCAGGTGTGTCGGAACAGGAATACTTCTAAAACCTGCAAGACAGTAGATCTTGAGGACTAGGGTTGGAGAGCCCCGCTCTACAATATGACACTAGGCTTTATTGTTCCATAGCCTTCAAGATCTTTTAAGAAGTTCAAAAAAAAGCAGGAAATTACTAATGACTACATCACTCACCTTTTCTTTTACAAACTTGTTTTCTTTTGATTAAACATATGTAACACTTGATAACTTAATTACTCTTGCTGGGCTGTTTATATTTTACCATGTTCCCTCATCTGGTCTGGTAAACTTTTTGGTCTGGAGTTTACAATATTGGATCAGAAAAGGGGAAAGTGATGCGTAAAATGTAGAAACAAAGAAACGCCAAGAGAAAGGGAACTTCCGCTGAATTAGAATCACAGGGACGATGTTTGCTATTGATATTTTTACTTCACAGTCATGTTATTATCATTTCAGAAACTGGATGTGGAACAAAACATGATGCATACAATTATTCTTAATTTTGCCCAGTCCTAGCAAAATGTACAGATTTTTTTTCTCTAACTTCTGTTTTGTTTAATTTTTTTATGTTTCATCAGTGCTCTGCCACCTGTGGATCTGGAGTTCAGCGACGAGATGTTTACTGCAGGCTCAAAGGTTCAGGAAGAGTCAGCGAAGAGCTATGTAATCCTCATTTACGTCCTTCAACAGTGCAAGTGTGCCACACACCACAATGTACACATTACATCTGGACAGTGGGTGAATGGGAGCAAGTGAGTAGTTGTTTTTTTTGTTTTTTACCTCATGTATCTGTTTATCTTTAATAGTCTCTCATTGCTTAAAGAATATTCTGACAGATTTGCTCTATTTTCTCAAATAAAGAAGTTGGCAACCCAAACATGTGGTTGCAGTTTATACATTATCCAACCTCAAAACCACTTATGAACACTGTTCCTTTTCTCCTGCTGACTGTTCGCTTCCTATGCGTGTAGGACGTTTATACTCGAGGCTCAGATAAAAGCCCTGTGCTCTTTAGGCGCAGGCAGATTAAAAGTTTCATGCAGAGACAGATGATTCTGTCCTCTCTGATCAATTTATGTCTATTTTGATGTGAAACCTGAAGGTTAAAAGTTTTTGAAGTTCTGCTTTTAATCCAGCAAGCAACAGGTTGTTTTGGAAGTGGTGTTTCGATTCTGAACCACATGAGTACATCCAACTCTATTCATACTCCTGATGCGATCCTAATGTAATGTATTACCATTTAATGTAATAGACCAACACCAATTTACACATACAGTAACTGTGAAGTGGAAAATAAAGGGCGTTTTTTTTTTTTTTTAAATAAAAGTCTGAGCATTATTGGAGTTTTGTATTTTCTTTTGTTTGGGTATGTCGTTTAGGTATACGGATCTAAAGACGTTAAATCAGTCATATTTGTTGGCAAATGTCTTTTGAAAACCAGTTTTAACATTTTCAAGTGTTAATATAGGGGTGTCCCCTATTCAAGTTCAGCCTTGACATCTGAGGAAAATAGACAATTTAAATTTAAGTCAAATAACGTGATGTTCCTCTTGACTTGTAGTGCAACGCAACATGTGGTGAAGGGATGAAAAGCAGAAAGGTGAGATGTGAAGGACCAAGTTCTTCACCTGCCCAGGATGACTACTGTGAACCATCAGCTAGGCCTACCTCCGTCCAGCACTGTAGAGAAGAGCCCTGTCAGTACATGTGGATCACAGGGGAATGGTCAAAGGTAGGAATTAAAACTGGACATGGTCTTTAAAAGTCTACCTTTGTTTTATTGTCAATGTTTAACTGACAGAAATTTCTTTTGTTCGTAGATGTTTTCCATCAGTTAAAAACATTTAGTGTTGGGTTTAGATTTGTATAGTCTCTTAAATAATAGAACATAATAAAGTCCTCTGAAAACAATAATATAGCTCTTATAAAGAATAGAAGATTAGAAATTTGATCTTAAACATCAGATTTAGAAAAGGCAAAGGGAAGCAGCCCTTTTCTCATCCCTTTTGCTGTGTTGGTATGTATTTATTTGTCTCTCAGTGCTCTGCCAGCTGTGGTGTTGGTTATCAGCAACGTATCGTCTCCTGCTCTTTGGTGCCGTCGTCCTTCCACTCACAGCATTTCTATACTCAGCCTTCAACCAACAGTAAAAACTGCCCTGAGCCTGAACCTCCTACCACCCAGTCCTGCCTCCTCAGTGAGTGTCCTCACACCTCCTACTGGAAAGTTGGCCCTTGGTCCAAGGTGAAGCACAGAACTGATTTATTAAGAAAAAACTTACCGTATGTCTGAATTTTGTGCAAAATATTAGGTTGTTTTTGTCTTGTTTGTTTGTTTTGTTTTTGATTTTTTTTGTTTTTGGGGAATTATAATGTTTGTGTCCCAGTGCTCGCAGACCTGTGGGTCCGGAGTGATGGAACGCAGGATAGAGTGTGTGACCTCCAAAGGCCAACTGTCTAAACACTGCCGTCCATCAGAAAGACCTGCATCTCAAGCTACATGTCAAGAGAGACAGTGTGAGCCTCTAACTTTTACTGTTTTGGGTCTTTTCCCTTATTACCTACATTTATTTATAATCATAAAAAAAAATTCCTTCCTTCCTTCAGTGGCTACGAACTTCAGAGGTCGTAGCCACTGAATAGGATCTAATAATCATTTGGGATTTTATTCAAAAATATCAAAGTAAAGGAGGTTAACCTGAGTCATGATGGACAGACTATTTGACTGTTCCCAGAAAAGCGCCCTCCATTGGAAAGGGCCAATCAACCTCTTTTTGTCTGGGAAAGGAGATATTTCAAACCGTACAAGGAAATGTTTTACATGTTTTTATCATTCTGTAGTGGCCAGTACCCTTTAATATGTTGACTAAGGTTCTTGTAAAACAAAGTACCATTAAAGTACATTAAACCTCACAAAAAGGTCAGAAAATTTGAAAAGAATTAGGACTTTTGCATCTGCTTCTATGTAGTATATTCATTGTAAGTTAAATTGCACTCTCAGATCTGCTAAAAGTCAGTCATCTTCTTCTTTTGTTTTGTGTGGTTAGGATTTTCCTGCTAATTATGTACCTTAGAGACTGAGCCATCTTGATTATTTTTTCTAAAGCATTCACACACTGGGAATGTGGGATTTTTAGTATAATGCGAATAAATTGAGTGTTCTGTGTGCACCAACTAAAACTGTGTCTGATTGTGTTTACAGTAATATAACTGCTTTCTAGCAGCACATTAGGCAGAACAGCTAGCACCACGTAATGCCTCTTAAAGTGATAATTTAAAGGAACAGCAAGTCAGCAATTTTCTACCAAAGCATCTTGCATGGACTCTGAGTTCAGAACAAGGCAGCTTTAATTGTATAGGGACAAAGTTTCCAAGTTTGCTTAACCACTTTTCACATGTCTCACTTATGGTACAAAGGGACATTTTCAACTAGCTTAAGATTAAGATAGATTAAGATGGTGTTATTATTTTTGCATTTTTAACCAGCTGCAGGCACTATGAGAGTCTTTGAATTCAGTTAATAGAGAGAAAATCTTGATATTTGGCTTTTCTTTAATGTTTTCTGATATTTTTGTCAGTTTTTGTAAGATTCCACTAAAGTCTTCTTTCTCATAATTCCTCTTTCAGGCCATGTGTTTACTTCTTGCCGAGAAGTGCAGCTGCGCCAGGGTGTGAGAATAGATGGAGAATACTATCTCAAAATCAAGTTTCGGACCCTGCAAGTGCGTTTTTGTTGACAGATATCCTCCTGTACACATCATGGCCTCCGTCTCATTTTCTTTTTGTTGTTAGATTTACTGTGCTGAAATGCAGACGGATTTTCCAAAGGAGTATGTGACCCTACGCAGTGGGCAGACAGACAACTACTCAGAGGTGTATGGGCAAAGGTTTGTGATTACGTTTTGAGTTTAGATTTATGTTTTGTATTTAATTCTTCTTGACACTTTTTCTCCTTCCCAATCAGGTTGATTAACCCATTTGAATGTCCATACAATGGCAGCCGCAGGCAGGACTGTGCCTGTAAGAATGACTACTCAGCAGCAGGGTACACGCTTTTCCACAAAGTTCGGCTGGATCTAAACTCCCTGCAGATAATCAGTGCGTAATTATTGTGTGTTTGCCTGCTGTAATGGGACCACACATCAGTGTTGATTTAAACTCTCACACACCTCATCCCAGTGTGCCGATAATGGCCAGTATAGAAGCTCAAGCCTGTACAGATGCAACCAACTGAGGTTTTGCTTTCACACACTCCCTCTACTGAAATTGAAAATCTTCAACTTTTAGTGTCCAAATCAAAAGGCCTCCACCATACAAACATATGGGCGGTAGGATCATTAACTTTATGTGTTTATCCAGGCAAAATGAGAGGACCTACAGCACTAATCCAAACTCGATCATCAAACTCTTACTCTTATTTGCATTCAAGCTGTCATACTCTAAAACAAAGTCTCTGCATAGCTTCAAAATAAATATTCCTCTTCTAAAATGTGTTCAGGTATGCATTGATTACAGTGTAAGGATTAATATAGAGCAGTGCAAGTTTATTTCTGGGTTCTCTGCTTTTTTACACTTAGAGCAGGGGTGGGCAATTCCAGTTCCTGGGGGCCAGTTTCCTGCAACTTTTAGATCCCTCTTTGGTCCAACACACCTGAATGAAATGGCTGAGTAACCTCCTCAGTATGCAGTCAGTTCCTCCAGTCATCTCTATCATCTAATTACCTGATTCAGGTGTGTTGAACGAAAGGCACATCTAAAAGTTGCAGGATACCGGCCCTCAGGAACTGGAATTGCCCACCCCTGACTTAGAGGATAACCACTGTGACTGACTGACTTACGTCCTATAAACATATGAGTCTTGTAAGGATTGGGTCAAACTCAAGTTCAAAGGTGGGACCAGGGCAGGACTAAGGCTACGTTCACTCTGTAGGCCTTGATGCTAAATTCCGATTTTTTTTTGTGAACTCCAATTTTTTCGCATTGCCGTTCATATTTCCAAATATATACGACTTGTATGTGATCTCTTGTGTGAACTGCAGTCATACAACGCAAGTGTCCCGCATGCACAGTAGAGGGCGCAATGACGTCACAGGCCAGCGTGCTCTTTTTTTTCTAGTTGTAAACATGGATGGTAGTCCCGGCGCGCATCTAGCGGTCTTTTCCAATCATAAAAACACAATCTTTTCAATATGTTTAAACATAAATACTGCTCTCCGCATCGTCATCTACCATGGTTGTTGTTGTTATTGCCGATTCTGTGTAACAAGACGCAGAATAGTGACCTTTGTCGGATATTAATGATGTTCAGGTCGGATTCATCCGACCTGAACATGGAGGTTTGACAGGACCCAAATGCAGGACCCAAATTGACCCAAATGCAGACACAAAGCTAGAGGTGGTTACTTAAAGGTTTAATTAACCAAAAGTTCAACAAAAGCAAATATTAAAAAACATGAATCCACAAAAATCCAAAAATGCTCAAAACCAAGAATAATCACAACCAGAAGGGGACAAAGTAATGACGACAAACCAGCAAAGAGTGACTGAACAGGAGGAAGATATACGTGAGAGAGAAACAAAGACCAGGCTAATTAGGAGATTGGGAGCAGGTGTGAACAGAGGCAAGAAGGGAGCTAGAGAAAAGTACACTGACACAAGAGGGCAAACAGGAAATATCCAAGAACTCAAATACAATCAAAAATACCTAGAACACAAGAATCAAAATAACACCAATGAAAACCCAAAATAAAACTTGACCAAAACCATGACAGTTGGAACCAATTAGATCAATATAAATTTGAAGCAAAAAACAAACAAACAAATGTCTCTTTATAAGCTGCCAGCTCTTGAAATTGTAATGTTGTATCCAGCTTGTCAGCTTTCTAGACCAGCAGTATTAGTCAGTCTGGCTAGCCAGGCTACAAGTGGTTATCAAGACAAAAAACACTTGACGTTATATTACCTTAATATACCAAGATACTGAATATGTCATCACAATAAAAGGAACTATCTTTACTTTTCACTACATTTCGTTGCTTTGTACTTGTGACAGTGTAATGACAATAAAGTTGATTTCTATTCTTTTCTATCCTATTCTATGATAACAAAATAATCAAACTAAACGTTATTTAGTCAGACAGTTTTATTTAAATAAGGTTTTGTTATCTTGATATAAAAAAACTATTTAACAAATTCCAAGATGAAAGAAACTCTGGGAGTCTTGCTATTTCCTCATATTACCATGACAATAAACAACTGATAAAATAACAGCAAATCTTATTATTACTAGTAGTATTCTCATAGGACATGCTAGAATCTTGTTAATAAAAAAATAAGGAAACGACAAAAAGAAAGTGAGAGTTAGCATTTAATGATGGGCTGAAAGCGTACAGCTGTTGTTGTATCTCAGTGGATTAAATTGGTCCTGTCCACAGATCTAGAGCTATTTATATTCTAAACCCCTATAAGTATACACTGGACCAAATAAAAAAAATCTTGCTTGAAAGAAATGGTCTCAAAATAGATTGAGACTGGAAATGTCAAACTTTTCTTTCAGTGTTAAATTGAATGAAAAAGAAGCAAGAAAAATACTGTGTAATGAAAACAATATGCAAAGAACTTGCTGTGATTTTATTTTTGTTATTATTTTCATACATCACTTTCCAGTTTCATATGAAAAATACTGTTTGGAAAATTCTGCTAGATGGAGCAAGAACATCTGGCAGATTTACATCAGTTATTTGTGTATTGTTGTTTTCTTTCAGCAGATGCTTTCAATGTGTTTACTTTGGCTGTTGCACAGTTTAACTCAAGATCTCTGCCTTTTTGTTTACCAGTCACAGACCTCCAGTTTTCCCAGACTATTCACGGCCGGCCCGTGCCTTTTGCTACAGCCGGAGATTGTTATAGTGCAGCCAAGTGTCCACAGGTTGGTTTGAGTTAAACCTTATGGATATGTTGTTCTGTATTATTAAAATTACTTGACCGCTCACTGATTGCCTTGAACTTTGCTTTTATGTCACATGCTATCTAAAATCATCAAACAAATGTTCATATCAGAAAACAATAACCTCATTAAATAAAAAAAATCTGTTTTTAAATAGTATTTTATTTTAGAGTTAAAAAAGGTCATCTGTCAGTTATCTCTCTGTATGTGGAAAAACTCTGATGTCTCGATCCAATATTGATAAAAATCAAAATATATCAGCCTGCATCTCAAATCTCTTACACTGCGAAAACTATCTAGAAATAAGTAAAAAAATATCTTGAATTAAGGGTATTTCCCCTTAATTTGAGCAGGTAAATAAGATGATCTGCCAATAGAATGAATAGTTTTGCTCTTAAAATAAGATAATTACCGGTAGATAACATGCACTTGAAATAAGACAATGTAATTGTTTTTTCTTATTTTAAATGTCAATTGTCTTGTTCAATTGGCAAAGTGTCTCACTTACCACCTAAATTCAAGAACAAATGCACTTATTTTAAGAAAAAATGACTTATATAGATTGAAATTTTTTGCAGTGAAAATAAATTATATCTATATGACTGAAATGGTATTCGGTCAATATCAGTTTTGGTCAATACTTGAAACTGCTGTATTGGTATTGGAAATTAAAACATTGCATCTAGATATCCCTATTTATTAACCTTGAATTGTTCATTTATCACTGCCCACTACTAGACCTGATCACTTTTAAACCTGCAGATTTAAAAAAAAAAAAAGGGGGGGGGGGGGAATAAATAACCTATCTGACAGCATGAAATAGGGTAAAAGTTTTACAAAGGCTTATTGAAAATCTTTTTGAAATTCAAGAATATGTGAGAAAGGAAGGCATCAGTTGGTCTGGAAATGGTTTCAAAGCATTTTCTAAGGGCACAAGTAAATCACATTAGCATCAACCAATGAAGTAAACAAGAAATCGTGAAGTTTGCGGACGACACCACGGTGGTGGGCCTCATCAGGGACGACAACGACCGGGACTACAGAGAGGAGGTGGAGCAGCTGGTGGACTGGTGCAGTGAAAACAGTCTGATCCTGAACGTGGAGAAGACGAAGGAGATCATCGTCGACTTCAGGAAAAACCGCCCCCACCATGCTCCACTGCTCATCAACAGCTCAGCTGTGGAGGTGGTCAGCAGCACAAAGTTCCTGGGGGTGCACATCACGGACAACCTCACCTGGACTGTAAACACTTCATCTCTAGTGAAGAGGGCACAGAAGCGCTTGTACTTTCTGCGGAGGATGAGGAGAGCCCGCCTGCCCCCGCCCATCCTCACAACCTTCTACAGAAGCACCATAGAGAGCGTTCTGACCAGCTGTCTCTCTCTGTGGTGTGGAGGCTGCAGAGCTTCTGACTGGAAGAATGTGAGGAGGGTGGTGAGGACAGCGGAAGGAATCATTGGGGCTCCTCTTCCCTCCATTAAGGACATTTCATCACAGCGCTGTGTGTCCCGAGCCCGTAATATCATCAAAGACCCCTCACACCCCCACCATGGACTGTTCTCCCTGCTGCCCTCTGGAAAGAGGTTCCGCAGCATCCGCTGCAGATCCACCAGGTTGTGCAACAGCTTCTTCCCCACTGCCATCAGACTGTTGAACCTTTGATCCACAATCCGAACTCTGCACCTATTGCACATTATCGGGCATCAAATGCTGCTGAACTTTTAACTTTTAGCCCTTTAAATTGTTCATCTCATTGTATTTTTCAATAACGCATTTTTTGCACAAATGCCATTTTGCACTGAACCACTGCAACTTGCACACTGTCTCTTATCCTCTGCACTGTTCACACTTTGACCACTGCTGCACTTTTTGTATTTTTCTATAACTCGTGCCATTGTGAAATATCAATGCAACGTTCATAAGCTGTATGTAACGCAATTTCGTTCTGTATGCACCCTGTGCATACAAAATGACAAATAAAGAAGTCTAAGTCTAAGTCTAAGTCTAAGTCTAAGTCTAAGAAATGAGGGGTACATTTTCTTTATAGCGACTTATTAAAGTTGCTCAAATATCGAATGGACAACTCATCTAGGTAAAAAAAAGTCGGAGCACTAAAAAATAGTCCAGAGTAAGGCATTCACTTGCCTAGCTTAAGGTCAGAATCCATGGAATAAGAATTGGATTTGTCAGAAATGGTAAATGTGACAAAGTTCTAAGGCAAAAATCTCTGCTGACTGCAAAGAACCCAAAGACCCGACAACCTGCTTCAACTTATTTATTTTTTTCAACGCTAAAAACTGCTTTTCATATTTACAGTTTTATGTTTGTTGGATACTCAGTAACATTTAAAATGTTACGCTGTATACTTCTTTCTCTGTGATAACATTTTATAAACTAAGTTGCTTTTCTAAAAATTCTGTTTTTAGGGCCAGTTTAGTATTAACCTTGTTGGAACTGGTCTTAAGGTGGCTCCAAATGCCAAATGGACATCTCAAGGGAACTATGTTTCTGTTAAAGTCCACAGATCTGAGGTAAGAACTTCCTTCTGATGTTGTTTCAAGTTTTAATGTGGTGTAATTATGCTATCTCAGCCCCCTCTTCTGGCACTGGGATACCAATGTGTTGGGGTTTTTCTTATAAACCTCATGTCGTTTCAGCTTTAGTGAGCTGGACAATGAACTGTTATTCATCAAGTGTCCATTTTGCATAAAATGCTGCCCTTGTGCCGACTTTCTGCTCTCTCATTCATTTCTTTGCGTAGGATGGAACAAGAATTTACGGCCGCTGTGGTGGTTTCTGTGGGAAGTGCATTCCCCACGCTCATAGCGGTCTTCTCCTCCAAGTTCACTGAGAGCTGAGCTGAAAACAGATCTTTGAATTCAGTTTGAATTCAGCGGGGCAGGAATATAAAATAAGAGTAATTTGTTGAATCCGCTCGATGGCTGTGAACATAAATAGAGGAGGGTCAACTTACGTCTCCAATTCCCAGATGGCAGCTAAAGGTACAGAAGACAGGCCCCTTTGCAGCATGCGGCCACTGTTCAGCATTTCATTGTAACAGAAGATGAGCCAGCTTTATTTGCTCTCCAGTCATTTGGCTATGGCACTTTTTGTGGTTTGGAAATGTTCGTTAAATTACCAACCAGGACCTAGCCACCGTGGATTTGGAAGAATAAAAACCGAAGGAAAGCATCCTCATCCAGTTTATTTTCATCTGAAACATTTCCATCTTAGAACAACCTTTTCTATCGGCAAAGTTCATAAAAAAAAATTGTTTTTTTCAGACAACACTTTGCAGGAGGTGCACAAGTAAAATATTAATAAGTGAATAGTTTTCTTACTGCTACAATGTCAGAGGTATACACCATTAATGGCTTTGACAGGATTTATAAGTATTATAACCATCAATAAACAGCCTAGACAGTAGAATCTCTCAAATAGTTAGCTTGACCTTAGCAAAGAAAAAATGGTTTTTCTGACCTGCCTCGCATCAGAGGTCAAACTTAAAAAAAACTTTTGGTGCATTTAGAGGAACTTTAGATTGATTGTTGCTGTCTATGCTCCTACGGCAATCTGTATTCCATCCTCAGTTTGTAGATTGTCATCGGCATCCCTGCTAAAGATGGCTAAAGAACTGCATACCATTACAAGTTTGTAATTTAGTTTTGAGAATAAATTCAGCCAAGACAGAGTCTTAGTCTTGTTAAAATTATAGAAATAAGTGCCATGTATAAACTGAAAATGGAAACTCTGTAGCTGCAAATAAACCCACTGCTGTATATTTCATCAGGAATAGATTTAAAAGAGAAGTCCGGTCATATTCAGAATTTGCCATGAAGCGCTGACAGATGGACCCAGTATTCAAGGAGAGACAGTCCAGTCCAAGAATGTCCCTGGTGCTGCAGTTCCAGAGGTCTTGCAGGAACCCGATCTTGGTCAGGGATTCAGAACAGACAGGAACAGACAGGTGGCAGGATCCAGGCTTCCAGGCATCATAGAGCTCCCAGGCGGTCACGCACAGGAGCAGACAGGATCAGGTGCAGATGAGCAGGCTCAGTGGAAGAGGGTAGCCGAGACAGGACGTGGAACCAGAACTTGATGCAGGATCTTTAAACTGGTCTCCTCCCTGGAGCCAGGCTTATTGAGATAAAAACTGAACCTCCCCACATATAGAGCCAAAACCCAGAGGACTCCGTGGGGGAGTAACAGTGGACGATCAGGAGACGAGACAAACACAAAAACCTCTTTCCACTGGCCCCGAGGATCCAAAACATGAACCAAGGAATCAAAATACCAGAAAGGCTAACAGAAAGATAAATAATGATCTGGCCCTGAATGCTCAGGCTGAACTGAATATATAATATGAATCAGAAAGGTGAAATAACTACAGTTTTTCACTTTTACCCAATGCATTACAACATCCAACTGCCATGCACGTGGGCATTGTCAGTTTAACTACAGCATTCGCGAATTTCAATGGTGAAGTCCTCTCAAAATCTTAAATAATTGTTGTTGATTGGAGGGATGTCTGGTAGTTCCCATTGATTTTGGTTGTAAATCGGGGAGAATGGCACTAGGCTTACCGTAAGTAAGCAAGTTAAGGCGCATTAACTTTGATAGTTTGTATTCTGCTCAAAAGAAAATATGCCTTGAGTTTTAAAAATCTGCAGAAAACCCAGCCGCTGTCATAATCACATACAGTAGACGCTCAACTTATATCAGTAGTTGACTTTTTTCCAGTAGTGCTGTGGTCTAATGCAGCAAAATAAACCGTTGGATTTGGACAATACACACTAGGGGGCTTAGTGTAAAACAAAGTGCAATCATCTAGAATAATGAGCCAATATTGCCAAACCAATGCTGTTATCTAAATGTTGACCCCCCCTTTGATGTCGAACTTAGTAATAAGACCAAAATCCTGTAAAAGTCCTTGGAGGTGAGCTAAAGAGGAATAATGGCGTAGGAAAGGATCCTGGCGCTCTAAATTATGTTCCATTAATAAACGAGGAGCTTTTTCACATCTTTACCTGGGTTGCCAACAAATGTGTCAAGCGTTTAAATGCAACTGAGAGCCACATAGACTGTTCAAATAAACACCTTTGCCGTGAGGACAAATAAATTGACGATTACTTATAGTTTAACTTTTAATGGAGAAAAAAAAGTGTTATTCAGTGATGCACATGTTCTCATCTGTTACAGTACACGTCACAGTTTCAGGTGTGGGGTCTCACCTCACCCACTCCATTGGCCTGTTTTAGATACTCACAACCCTACCTCTCACAAGCAACTCTACTCTGAAAAGTGTTGTAACATATTTATGTTTATCTGTATTTATTCTGTACTTATTTTTGAGTATATTGTTTTTATTTGATATAATGACTACTATCAGCAGAGCAAACATAGTCTGTTTTGCCAAAAAAACTTACTCTATTAATGTATTATATAACCACTAACCTGAATGTATGGTGCTTTTTTAACCACTGGAATTACCTCTGATCTAAAGAAGGAAAAATATTGACTTTTAGAGTAAAACTTTCTGTTGCAGAGCCTTCATCATTTGGAATGACATAGTTAGAAATCTCTTCAGCTGATGTACGATCTGCTTATAAAGCAGGTCAGTGTTCTGTTTTTAATGCACGAGTCTTAGATCTATGAGCTGAACCTGTAGATGGGAAATCTCCTCCTACAGAAGAAGCTAACTCCTCATCAACAACTGTTACTGGGCAACCACCATGTAACCTAACACAACGGCATGCAGATGTTGAGCTTTTAACCAAAGTCGGAAAACAGATCTAGAATACATTTTCTCCTCAGACAATGCAGCTTCTTCTACTTTATAGAACATCTGAAAATGATAAGTCACTGAGCAGCTAGAAAACTTTTGGCTGTTGTCTTTTTTTTTATGACAGTCAATTTTGCTATAAGATCTGTATCAGAAATTAAAAGAATACTTGACGCACTATGTGCCATTAGTTTTGTAGAAATGTAATCCTGTATGTTTTTGTAATACCTATACATTGTAACTTATATATGTGTGTTTGTTTTATTCTTCAATACTTGAATTGTAAACAGTGTGTGATGTATTCAATGGGCATTGAACAGAGATTGTATGGTTGTGTGCCCAGCTTTATCCAAAGATGTTTTTAAGAATGAAATGTAAATAACGTTTGTATGCAAATATGGTATATATAAATGCATGTATGGAGGAGGCCTGAATGTTACCTGTAAGAAATGCATAACTCTGGTGCTACATATGGCTACTAATCATACAGCTGCTGTATGTGTTTTACTAAAACAGGAAGTTAGAAACACTGAAAAATAAAAATCTGCTTTCAAGCCAAAAAAAGACTTAATGTTTCTTTTTTTTCCTATATCATTTTGTGTAGTTACATTTCTACATTAAAATCTGTTCCTTGGAAATCATCTCTACCACTACAGAGTTTTGGGATGTTTACATATTACTTAAATAAAGACATTAAAAAAGGGCTGCAAAAGGAAGCTAAAGTAAACAATTTAGAAACTTTTACTTAATTATTGACGTAAAACACACAATGTTATTTATCTTAACAGTACTTAATGTATTCTGGAAAGTTCAATTTAATAGTATACAAGCTTAAAACTCCTATTATTTTAGATTTGTTATATTGCTTTATTTGTTTGCGTATCCAAAAATAGAATTTTGCTCTGCCAATGTGTTAATAATTGAAGTGGGTCTTGGCTATATAAAGTCCTACCATATATATGCATCATTAATGATGCATCCTGTTTTAATGTATTATTTTTGCTGTGACATCATTGACGTGGGTCTCTAATCGTTAATGCTTTAGTGACCCCAAGTAGTCAAAATAATCACCACATTTTTACAAAATCGGACATGATTGCCACATATAGTGCTTTTGATTGGACAGATAGTTTCCCATTTTTGAATTATTCAGAAAATATGTCCACCTGCCTTGACCCTGGAGGCGCTTTAGGAATTATTTTTGCTCATGTGAGATAATGTTCATCAGTGAAGACAGAGCATCTGTATAGCGAAGCATAAGATGAAGTAGTAACCTTTAACCTTCTAAGTCATTTATCCACAGAAAGGACTTTCATTCTCAAGCCTGTTGACTTTGGGTTCCCAAACCTTTGCGCTTTTTTTAAGAACCGACGGCCGCTTCCATATGTTTTGAAAGCCCAGTGTACATTACCAACTGTTTGTATTACACAACACAGGCATTGTGGAAAGATGGTTGAGCTTTATTACTTGCATGAGTTACTGCTAACCTCACAGATGCCGAATGCAAAAAAGAAAGCATCAACAAAATTGGGGTAATACAGAATAGAAATTGTTGAATCAGTACGAGAATTAAGCTAAGTTTTATTTGGCATATATTTCATATCAAAAGGTGTAAATGAAATCAGTAGTTTTACACTGCATATACAATGTGTATTAAGTTTTTTTTTGCAAACATCCATCCATCTTCTCCTGCTTAGTCCTTGTAGGGTCGCAGTGGGGCCGGTGCCTATCTGTGGCAGTCTATGGGTTAGCAGCGGGGTATGCATTGGACAGGTCACCAGTCTGTCGCAGGGCAACATAGAGACACACAAAGACACAAAACCATGCACTTAGCCAATTAACCTAACAGTCATGTTTTTGGACTGTGGGAATAAGCCGGAGTACCCAGAGAAAACCCATGCATGCACAGGGAGAACATGCAAACTCCATCCAGAATGACTGCAGGAATCAAACCCAGAACTTTCTTGCTACAAGGCAACAGTGCTACCAACTGCACCACTGTGCAGACCCTGTTTAAAAAAAATATATTGTTTAAATGTTTTCAAAATTTGTTAAGAGAAACACACTTGTTTGCCAAAAGAATCAGGTACTCTATAGGCGAATAGTTTATGTTTACCTCTTTTTATCTGTGGAAACACGTGACTGGTTTGAAATCACATCAAGAAAATGAAACAGGCTCTGAACGCTAGTGAAAAAAGGCCTTTTTGAGTTTTTGGGTATGTCTCTACCAACTTTAGCAAAACAAGCCCAGTCGTATCAGATGAAGAAGGTTCATCGGCAGCAATTTTTACACTTTGCTACAGATTCTCAATTTTAGTTCTAGACGTTGTCTCGGAAATCCCAATACACAAATGTGCTTTGATCTAAATCCTCCTTGCTTAGCTCTGCCTGTAAAGTATATGGTATTTTTTCTTTAGCAACTTTCGATCAAGTGGAAGAAAAATGAAATATTTCCACAGCATGATACTGCCACCCCAGCCTCTATATTTGATGAAGGGATCTGATGCAAAGCGCAAACCTGGAATAATACGACAGTTTTCACTTTGAATCAAAATTCACTTGCATAACCCTTGCATGAGCTGTTTTTTCCTTTTATTTAGAGTGAATTTTTTGACATCTTATTTTAACATCATGTATTTATTCTCAACTAAAATGCAGGGCATATATAATCAGTCATTACAGTCATGAAAATGTAGAACACGCACCTCAGTAACAGTCACAATATCTTGAACAGTTTGAATTGAAGGCTTGGCTTCTGATGTGAAATCAAAATGATAATTTCAGAGTAACAGCACTGAAAAAGAGGATCAACTCTGTAGTCACAATGCTGCAGTGTTCCTCCAACACAGATCCATTTGATTAAAGAGGACAGTAGGTCAACACTATTTGGGAGCTGTATCTAGCCATATCATGGCTCCATGTGGATCCACTGACTGATTCAGACTGAATTTTCATTACATTACTTTCAAGGGCTTATTTATAGTCGGGAGTCCTAAAAAAAGCAAGAGCAAATATTCTATAAAGCATTTTCCCCCTCTGATCTGGAAAGTAAAGCTGTCCATCAGCCGGTGACTCAAACAGTAATGCCAAATCCAAAAATGAGGTAAGTCCCAACTTACTAACTATAAGCTTTGGAAAGTTGTCCAGGGAAGTGCATTAGCATCTTCATTTCTTAATAGGATGTAGAAACTCTAGCTTGTTTATAGTCCATTTTCCTAGAGCTTATAGACCCAATACAGCTTTGACAGTAAATGAAAACAGACTCTGAGATTCCTCGA